TCATCCACAGCCGGAAAGGAGGGATCCTTCCTTGTCTGTCTCCTTGCTGGGATCTCTACCAAAGGCCCGGCAGGGCTCAGGGGTGGCCATGGGTGCAGGGAGGGCTGCACAGCTCCGCCAGTGGCCTCCCCTCGTACATCAGCCTCTGGCTCCTGGCAGAGAAGATCTCACCCCCATGGGAAACCTGGCCTTCAAAACACCAGGCGGCAGCCGGAAAGGAGGGATCCTTCCTTGTCTGTCTCCTTGCTGGGATCTCTACCAAAGGCCCGGCAGGGCTCAGGGGTGGCCATGGGTGCAGGGAGGGCTGCACAGCTCCGCCAGTGGCCTCCCCTCGTACATCAGCCTCTGGCTCCTGGCAGAGAAGATCTCACCCCCATGGGAAACCTGGCCTTCAAAACACCAGGCGGCCCCACCACAGTGGCCTGCGCTCGGCATCAGCCCCGCCCCTCCCTCCAAGCATTAACCCCATTTGCTGCCGAGGCCCCATTGGGGGCACCCATGTTTGCTTGAGGGGTGGAGGGGATGCAGCAGGCGCAGGGACAGCCTGCTACAAACGGATCCGTGGAGCATTAGGGGTTAAAAAGCATTATAAACCAGCCCCCAGCAAAGCAGTGGAGGAGCAAAGCAACAGGACTATCTCTTCTGCAGGGCTCCTGCTGGCTCAGGGTTCCCGGGCACTAAGGTGCCTTAATCCTTAGGCATCTGGGAATCCATTTCTTTGGCCAGAAAGATGCAGACGCCCCCTACTTGGCTCTGCATGCATCCTCTGTGATTGTCGCTGGCAGGGAAAACCCGATTGCCATGCTTGCAGATTCAAGCCACAGCCCAGCTTCGCTGGTAACAACTCTTAGAATTTGCCCCTCTTCCAAGCACTTTACAGCCACTAACTAATTAATCTCAACATGGATTGACGAGAGGGTCGGACTCAGGGAACCCTGGGTTCTAACCGGGGTTCTGACACTACAGGGTTTTTTTCCGAAAAAAGTGGCCTTAAAAAAAAAAAATTTACCTGTGTCTAGACTACCGCTGTGTTCTGTCGACGGTAAATCAAAAGAACGCGGCGGTTTTGTCGATGGCGGTAAACCTCATTCTACAAGGAATAACGCCTTTTTTCAAAAGTCATCTTTTGAAAAAAGGCGCTATTGCATGAAAACGGCTTTTTCGAAAGAGGGCATGTAGACTCTCGTTCGAAAAGGCGAGCCGCGTTTTCGAAAAATCTTGTTGTCTAGACTCTCTTTTTCGAAAGAGGCTTGCAGTCTAGATGTAGCCTCACTGCCTGACTTTTGCTGTGCCTCCATTTCCCCAGAATGTACTGACCTCCCACCTGGGATGGGTGAAGCTTCAGTATGTAACGTGCTATTGACATGCTAAGCATGTCTTGCCATCACCCCATTTCTCAGCTGGGGAAACTGAGGCAACGACACACAAGGCTCAGCTTTTCCACAGGGCTCAACACATCGGTCACATGCTGGATGCTGAACTGGGTGGAAAAAAATCTGGTCCTGATTGTGAGTGTTGAATCCTTGAAAACCCAGCCCCACTCCTTGGAAAATTCAGCAGTCGGGCAAAACCAGGACTCCCCCATTCATGGGTATCGAAGGCAAGAGGGACCCTGACGAGCCACGTAGATCTTGCTGGCTAGGGAGGTTCTCTGCAGCTCAAGGTTGGGCCCTGGCAAGGTGGTGTCCTTGTCTGACGCTACCGCCTCTTTTCTCCTGCAGGTGACTCCCTGAGCCTCCACAACGGGAGGCCTTTCTCCACCTATGACCACGACAACGACAGCGGGACGCAGAACTGCGCAGTCACTGTGCATGGGGCCTGGTGGTACACCAACTGTTACCGTGCCAACCTGAACGGGGGCTATGCGGTGGGGGAGCAGCAGAGGCAGAAATACAGCATCGACTGGGTGTCCGGCCAGGGTGTGGGGAACCCCTACAAGCGCACGGAAATGAAGATTCGCTAGATGGGGTTCCCTCCCAACCTGTGCATCTGGGGCACACCCCAGGCATCAGGACTGAGATGCCACATAGATCCTCTTGCTGCAAACCAGCTTCTTCTCCCCCTGCAGCAGCCTCTGTGTCTCCAACGATCCCACCCCCTCCCACCTCTGGAGGAATAAAAGGCACCTTCCTGGGACCACACAAGACCCCAATGCATCCCCAGGGTCCCACAAGGGCAGTCTGGGAAACTGGGAAGATCCTCACTCTCCTAACCTTGTCATCTGGCAGTGCACTGAGTTGTGTCCAGATTCACAGGAGGCTGCGTAGAGCCAACACCTGCTCAGAGGCAAATAGGCCAAGCTGAGCTTCAGGCATGTTCCCACACCGTGTGGCAGCATTTGATCCTTTGCAGGAACAGCTTTCCAATCAAGCTGACCAGCTCAGGATTATAGAACTATAGGGTGTGTGTGTGTGTCCATACATATCATTATGCATTTGTATGCATCACACGCCCATTTACACACATGCTGAGGGTTACTCTGGCGTCTATTTCAGACGATACGCTGCTGCGTTCTGGGCACTCAATAAAAGCATTGCTCCTGGCTGATGGTTTGAAATCGCTCTCGTTGGAACATTCCCTGAGTGCGCTGCAGCTGCTTCTCTGCAGTGCCGTCTGAGTTTGCCCAGCTGTGGCAGTGGCTTTGATCCCAGGCTCACAGCCTCGGGAGGGCTCACCGTCTCTGCGGCCTGCTTTGTGTGCTCAAGCATGTTGGCGTGTCAGTTTCACGGGACCCTGACTGGTGGCCTGAAATGGCTGCCGCAAGGACAGTCAGTGCAGCTAGGCCTGGTCCACAGCCCAGGGAAGGGAGTGGGAAACTTCCCGCTGGCTGCAGGCTCGGGTTGTTAGCAAACATGGGCCCAGAGGAGTTGTCATCCCAGGATGGAGGGCAGAGCTTTTAACCAAATAAGCCCTATATTGCTCGTCCAGTGAGTCTGGTCTGATGCCACGTATAGTGCCCAGTACCTGCAGTAGGTGGGGACAGGGAAAATCCTCACTGGACCCCATAGAGTATTTGCACTTTTTGTGTGTTTTCCCTCCTGCGTCTGTGTGTCATTGTGGTTGTGCTATTTCATCTTTGTTCTTCTCTGTGACTCTGCCACAGCATCCTTCGCTCAGGGATCTCCAAGGGCTGCAGAATTAATCCAGCTTCCCCACACTCCCAGGACAGTAAATACAGTAATTCCTCATTTAACACGTGCCCATTTAACACGTTTTTGCAATAGCATGATTTTTTTTAGGGGACTTTTTTGAATTACACGACTGTCCCCGGAATAACACGATTTCCCCAGCCAGCCCGTTGCCGGCAGCTATGCGGGGCCTCCCTGCAAAGCGGCGGAGGGTTTGCTGCTCGCCGCGCCATTCCCCACTGACTCCCCCTCGCCGGATGCCTTGCCCCCTCTTCTCTGCCCCCACTTGCAGGCCGGCGGCTGGGCCCGTCGCCGGCGGCTGCACGGGTCTTCCCCCACCTCCCTGAAAAGTAACAGAGGGTTCGCTGCTCGCCGCACCATTCCCCGGCAACCCCCCTCACCAGACGCAGTGCAGGTCCCAGCAGACCCGCCACAGAGGCATACTCCCAACCCAATTCCCCTTCCCCTCTCCTCCCCTTCCCTTCCCCAGAGCCAAACACCTCCCCTCCCTGCTGTACCCCAGTCCCCTTTCCCCCCCAGCCTCATGTCCCAGGCCCAACAGACACCACCGCTTGAAACGCAACCCCCCACCTTTTCCATTATTTTCAATAGGAAAATTGACCCCGCATAGCACGTTTTCACTTAACATGAACATTTTCTGAAACATCTCTCTAGTGTTAAATGAGGAATTACTGTAATATGTTCTTCCTTTGTACGGATGGGGGAGTCTACTGTCTGGCCCTCGCTTAATCGCAAATGGATCTGTCAAGTCCCAGGCTGGGCCAGCAGCATCCTCCGTTATCTTCAGCATATTTGTTTGGTCTTTTATAAAATGTCCTCTGAACCATGCCATGCCCTCTAGGACGGCTCGGCGCTCTCGTTCCAAGCAGCCCCCATGCACCTGGCTACCTGTCTTAGCGCTAGGCACTTTGGTGCCGTTTGAAAGCTCCATGCAGCTTTCTATCTTACAGGCTTTGTTTCCTTTCCTACCCCTCTGCCCTTTATCTCAGCATGGGAGGAGACGGATGCTTAATCCTAAAATTAAAAACAAACAGTTGCTCCAGGAAAGCGGCCCTGAGCCAAGCATCTGGCCCATTACTACTCCAGGCCTGGCGCTCTATTCCCTGCAGAGGAACTAAATCTCTCTGAGCTTCAGAGGAAGACAGTGTCCTCTGTCTTCCATCCTCATAGCAGCCAACCCCTCTAAAGCCCAACAGCCCTGCGCTTGCTGCTTTTTGGAAGCACTAAGGGGGGGAACAAGGGGAGATAGACATTCTGCTTAAGGCGGGTACAGAAGGAAGTGGAGCCAATCAAAATAGCGTGTGATGTATGTGTGCAGCTTTTTGGAGCTGAAAGCGGAGTTTTTCCTGGTGGCTGGCCCGGGGTTGACCAGCTCACTTGCTTTCTCCATCTCTTTCACACACACACATATTCCTACCCCATTTTCCAGACCAGGGCGGGCAGTCAGCCATGTCATTTTGCTCCAGCCATCCCTAAAGCTGGACAAAGAAAACAACCCAAGCCCTCTGAAGAGAGCAAAAAATGGTTTGTCATCCTGCGACTGCGTGAAATCCGGAGGCCTGGGGGCAGAGCACGTCACAGCACAAGGTGAGGGCAGAGTGAATTCCTCTCTGCCTACTGCCTTCAAAGACTCCCCTGGGCTTTATAAAAGACTCTTGTGTTTGCTCCATGTACTCTGAAAGCCAGGCTTTGGCTAGGCCCAGAATTAATTTTCCTCCACATCTCTCGCCATGGAAAACTGAACCGCAATTAACTGAAGCACCATTTGTCTGAACCACCCGTTTTCTATTACAAGTTTACCCTCCCTAAAGGGAGAGATTCCTCAGTGGTTTGAGCATTGGCCTCCTAAACACAGGGTTGTGAGTTCAATCCTTGAGGGGGCCATTTAGGGATCTGGGCAAATCTATCAGGGATGGTAAGGGGCTGGACTTGATGACCTCTTAAAGTCCCGTCCAGCTCTATGAGATGGGTATATCTCCAATCTGGGATATACATCCTGGAGATCTCATGTTATAAATGGATGTTGGTTGCACTGGCAAGTCTCTCAAAACTTCACTGACCCAAATGTATGCTATTCAGATAATGAAGGTTCAACTGCACCTTAGTCTTTTTTAGTTGCAACCATGCACTTTTGCACGCTGGGGCCACTGTGGGCCAGATTGCAAAATCGGGGCCTTCCCCGCCCTCCGAACACTGGGCCAGCTCTTTAGCCGGTGTCAGTCCGCAGCACCATGCTCCTGGACCCCGGCTCTCAAGCCCTCCCACCGGCTCCCGGAGGCGGCGCTGTTTGCAGCCCGCGGCTGGAGTGATTTTAAAGCCAAGGGGACAGGGAGGAGGGGAGGGCTCCCAGCTGGAGGGCCCCGCCAGGGTAGCGCTGGGGCGCTCTCCCGTTTCGCGATCCTGGAGAGCCCCCGGCGGCCCGTGGCGCGGAGCCCAGCCCAGCCCAGCAAGGCGGGGGTGGGCGCGGGACACGCTCAGTCCCGCTCTCTCCGGAGCTCACCCAGGAAAAGTTTCGGTGGGTGGGGCTCCCCGGCCCCACGTGGGCGGCCGCGGCCCGAGCGGCTGCACTCGCCGGAGGGCAGCGGCGCACGGGGAAGGCGGAGGGGCCCGGCTGGGCGGGGA